TANANACANACACACACACACACATATATATATATATATATATATATATAAATATAAAACCATAGACATTACGAAAACATCCCAAATTTACACACAGTACTATATCATGTAGTATATGTACCTCCGGGCCGACTCCCATCTCATGCGCTTTCTTATCGCCCAAACGATCTCCCTCGAATGTAGTCGCTAGTGTATTCACACATCCCAAAAAGTCCTTGAACGCCTGTCCCGATTCATCGAAAATCAGTTGCGGTTTCTGACAGAACATCTGCAGTTTAGAGTACTTGCGGAACAGATCGAAGTCTGTGGCGCCCTGACCCGTTACATCACCCAGGCAGCCGGTACTATCAATCGGCATGTATTCGCTGGCACCTATCGCGGTGAATGGGATGGCTATGAATGTTCGTGCAGACTTATAGCGGCATGCATGCTCAGCATCGCAGAGGTATGGTGTTGAGTGCGAATGCGTTGGATGCGTATAATTGTAAAGCAGCCGCGAACAGCTAGACTGAGACGAGGTCCGATAGTCCTGACTGCTACCATAGACACACATGCCAGTTAGTGTGCCCGGACCGCATATAAATATATTCACCAACCAAAATCAGTAGACGTTTGGGTATTCGATAACTCCATATTGGTTCGAACAGCATCATGTCGACAATCGCTCGGTACTCAGAATACAATTGTCAGATCCGCAGCCAGACTTATGATGAGTACTAAAACTAAGGCGGGATATTCGCTACTTCGCCACTTTGTGTTTATATCTAATGTTTGCAGCACACGTGTCTCTCGATGCCCGTACCGAACATATGATATATACACACCAGGAACAGATTTGGTACTGGTCTCCACAGTCTCGTCAGTGTCCATTGGATCGGCTGTGCCAAGGACCTGGGGTGTCGAGGTGCGCGATTTCTCTTCTGTCGCATTTGGGAACAGGAACAACGTAGCACATAAAGTGTGAGTAAGAATCTACATATATCAAACTAAATGGTATCAGCTTTTGTTTCATCAGTGATCCCCAGCTCCTCCACATGTTTTCGCGCGATCTCAGAGCAGATGAACGTACCCGATACCTGCTTTTAAGCAAGTCATCTACAAAACACGCAGATAATTTTGACTAGTTCAATAGGCAGCTGTACACACACAGCTGCACCTTTGGCAGTACATAATCACCACACGATCCTCATTCAATCACGCTGCGAACCTCACATACCCTCCAACTCGGCTTCCACATCACCAAAGTTCAGATCCGTGTTGAACGCTCCAATGACATTTGCCCCAGACTTGTCTGTTAGTGGATAGAACCGGGCTAGAAACAATAGTATCCTGCCTCTGAACCCAGCGTTTAAAACAGTGGAGAGGCGTGCAATAAGACCCGTGCACACAATGAGGAGTGTGTTCTTGCATGAGCCGAAGAAGCGCATGTTGTCCTCCAGGAAAGAGAAGAGAAGCTCGCACTCAAAGATGGTGCTGGTGGCAAGGCAGTCCTGAGCACCACAGGAAGAAACAGAGTCAGAATAGAGTTACCAATGAGAAGTACGCCATTGCGTTGTATCCCTGACCATCCGATCGACTGCCGATCGGGTTCGTGGTGTGTGTTTTAGGATGTATATACTGAGGTATCACTTGGAGGACAAAGCAAAGCAACGACAATGGAACGCAACATTCCAGCGTTGCACATGAACTGCAAGCCCCAGAACATGCCAAGCAGCTGAAGTTAACGATTATGGTCTGACTGATATGTATCTCCCACACACTCACCTGAGCTACGAACATGACCGTGCTGGCGGGTAAAACGTCCATGGCAAGTAGTATAGCGCATAATTCCAGGAATCGTTTTTTATCATCCCTTGACCGAGTGGCCGCCATGGTGAGCACCGTTTCGCGGAAGAAACTGGTTAGCACCCGATCGGACATATTCCGTTCGACATCCGCTGATTGTAACCTGTATAAGTGTTAGAAGAGAAAATAGTTTCGAATACAGAGTGAAAAGCTTAATTAAGTATTGGACAGTCCGAGAATGAAAAGCATTTCGTACTTCTACAGGCAGTGTGGGAAGAGGGATATGCTGAAGATGCGGTACTTTATCACTTTGTTATATCAAAGGTGGTAATGCCAAAGTACCTGTGACAATTGCATGTGCCGAGCAAAAACTTTAGAACTAAATCAGACACGAATCCGCCCAAAAAAATCAGTGTAAATATGACAAAATTGATAGAAGGATAAAAGATTCAACGTTTAAGGCAAAGAAATAGTCATCATGTTCTACAGTCAGAAACATGCTCTTATTACACGAGACAACATACATTGTACAAAAAAGAGACTAAAACTAAAGCGAAAATACGAGCCAGAAAAATACGATATATACATAAATATCTGTGCATGTAGATGGTATACACACGAACGCAAACATAAATTGATGCACATAACATTTCTGCTTATCCATGTACGTATATTATTCTGCCGCGATGATTACTTGAAAGTAAGACACTTGGTAGCAGCCACAAGAGCGCACACGGAAAATATTGCATTCAATATAACTAAATGTGTATAAAATATATAAATATACTTATAAATATAAATCAATGATAACAATAAGAATAAAACAATATATATATATATATATATATAATATAAATGCATACATACGTACGTACGTACGTACAAACACACACACCCATATAGATAAATATAAATATACTTATATATATATATATCTGTGTGTGTGATGCTAACGTATATTTACACACATCCATGCATGTGTATATATTTATAATATATACATATATATAATATATATATATATATATATGTATGTATATATATATATGTATGTATGTATGTATGTATATATATATATATATATATAGTGTATATGTATATATTATTAAATATATGCATGTATTGTATATATATGTATCTATATATGTGCATGTGTGTGTGTATATGAATTTGAGGAATATATGTATATTATATATATATATATATATATGTGCGTGTGTGTGTGTGTTGTTTTTGTGCGTATATATATATATAGTCATATTATTATATTATTTATATACTTTTGTTGTATGTATGTGTGTACGGATGAACATCAACAAGAAAATATTGACATGGTACAGTTTGCATATATGTATGTGTACGTACTTTTTCAGGGGAGCAAGTTTCTTCATAATATTATTCAGATTATATCTTTTTTATCCGCTCTTATAAATCTGTATGACGCTGTACACTCCATTCCCAAATGTTTACAGTATATATACGCATTACTGCCCTCATTCTCAGCCGAAAGTGGGAAGCGATATGGTGCATTTGTGCTCGCTCTCTGGGAAGCGTAGATATTCCAGATTTTTAGCTTTCTCATTCCACGTACTCACATCGCGCTTGCATATATGTGACTCACCACGCTCTACTATCAAGAAAGTGAGGCAAGTCACTTCTTGACTGTATGAGCATGTATATACACATGTTTATCTTGAATTGAATCAAATGAATATTCGTGTCTGAATAACCCTCTGTAGATATGCAGGGTTCTCGACATCTATCGCAGCCAATGACGAGGATGAAGACGAGACTGAGGCCGACGCTATGGCCCACAGTGCACGCATGGGACCCACCGCCGTCGCCACCAAGAAACGTCAGTTTACCGCCCCCTCTGCTCTGTTAAAGGTGAGTATGTGCATGGTATGGTATATGTCTAACACAGTTGCTCAAATATTTGTATATCTACGTCTGTACTGAGATATGAGACTCATCTTTACTGATATGGGTGCCCTGTGTAGGGGACCGCATGAAGTGTATAGGATGAGGCGGGTGCTGTAGTCTATAGTTGAACTACTGCCTTTCAAGCCGTGATCCCAAAGCGGCCTGCTAGGTCTTAGTTGTTCATGCTTGAGTAATATTAATATGATCATGATTTTGTACAAGAAACGTAGACACAAGTCCATGTGTGGATTTATATGCATTTCTCAGCGATATTTTATTCCATCATTTGGAGAGTCTAGCTTACACTCTTTGGTTCCAGTGCACTTGCACATAACATGCACTATCACACTCACACCCACATACACTGCAATATTTAAAGTTGAGTTGGTGGGTGATGTATCGGCCGTTACGTTCAAGCACATAGGTGATAGCCTGAGGGTTGCACATCGACTTCCGCATTCACTTACCCGTATCCTGTCCTTCGTCACAGCCTCAAGGCGAAGGCGATGAGGATGTGTTCGCAGAGAGAGATCAGCGCATCAGTGCGCGAGAGAACGAATACCAACAGCGCCGGCGTAACCGCATCATATCTCCCGAGCGTGCAGATCCCTTTGCCGGCGGCGCAACGCCTGCCCCAAGTATGTAACAAAGTCAGTCACGTCACCCTGCTTGTTTACTTGTGTACAATTACTTAGAATTGCGGTATGGAGCATGGTGGTACGGTTACGATACCTGATACCCTTGTTCTGGAATCGAGAACATTTCTTCGTATAAACAAATTGCAAGAGTTTCTCGTGGCCCTCTTATGTCTGGCTTTGCTATTGTTCGCATTTGCATTCACGTATATTCAAGCCGAAGGCCGCTTCCTAAGGTTGTCCGTGTGGAGTGGTAAACTATCATGTCCGCTACTATGTCTTATACTCGCCCTATTTCTGTATCACTCCAGGTAGCGAAAATCGTTCGTATGCGGATATTATTAAAGAACAAGCCTTGGAGAAGGAACATGGGGAGGTGCTTAAGATGATTCAGAAACAGAAAGAGGATCAGGCTGCAAATGGTATACCTGCTTGTGTTACGGCTTTTGCTGTACAGCATCATAGCGTGTACATAAGGATTTTCTTTTTGTTCTCGTTGATGACATATCCCTGCCTTCTTGTGTGTGCTAATTATATTTGAAATATGCTGCATCCGGTTGCAGACCACGTGCTATGTACTCGTTACATTGGCATTCGTGACTTGCTTTAGGCTTATCGTCTGCTTCGCCCAGACTAGCTACGGTCGGCTCACGCACAACCCCATTAAGCTCCTCGAATAGTCCTGGTTCGTCGTTTGGTTGGCTTAGTAGTGTCAGTGACTTAAGTATACTGTAGAGATCTTACCTGATGTAGGCATTACACTATGAATCGAGTGCTGAGCCTTGCATTTACAATGCAGGAGTTCGGTTCATCCGTTGGCGGGGCAGTCTACCATAGGTTCTTATATTGGCGTCCATGATACGCTGCTACAATGACCATTCATGCACATAGGTTTGCAATTACAAGTATATAGGTGTGCTGTTTTATATCTTCGCGAGGTCTTTCGGTGCTTCAGGTGACGCACAGTGCTAGTGTACGGCAATCTGCTAGGTATTTGTAAGTCATTTTTAAGGTCTCTCATTAATCACGGTCTTATGTTGTTGCAGGTGTTATGCCGCCGCCACCGTCGAAGCCTGCTGCAGCTGCCACAGAAGGAGAGCCTCGCAAGAGGCGATCACGTTTCGACCAAGCACCCAAAACGAAAGGTATGTCAATAATACAATGTGCTTGTGACCGTTCGGGCGTTGATAAATTCAAAATCTTCCGAGTGGGGTCGATGGTCAAAAACGACACAATGATTTTAAGTGAAATTTGTTACATACATTTTCTCCATCGATCTTTTCATTCATGTGAACTATGAATATTTACGAATCTTTCACAATGTCAATGTCAATATCAGTGAGAAGCAATAGATCGATTCTCACGCATCTCTCACCAAACTCCTTCTCCAACGTTTGATCCGTTCGTTAATTAGCTCCAGAGGCCTGGGAGGGTGTGCAGGAAACACCAAGGTCTACAGCAGACTCGCGTTGGGATGCAACACCAAATGGGGCCTCTGGTGTGGCTGCCACACCTCGGCCAGGCGAAACACCGGCAAGAAAGCGCAACCGCTGGGATGCAACACCCGCCCATGACAGTGCTGCAACGTCGGGCTGGGGCGAGACGCCTCGAGCTGATGGGGTAGGTGGACTTGCATGGACTTATATATATATAAATTTATATCTAAATCTGTATCTATATATCTATACATATATTCATCCAAATATATACATGTATATATATTATATATATGTGTGTGTGGGGTGTGTGTGTGTATTTATGTACATTCGTCTGTATGTATGTATTTATTTATTTATGTTGTTTTTACGTCTGTATATAGAAAATTAAACTGTATATCCCGTGCATTACGGTACCCGTGTGAGCAGTTTTATTTATTTTTCTTTGCTTTAATCTGATGAGCTAGGCAATGTAGCCGAGCAAAGTGGGCACGGTGGGTCCCTGTTTCAGAGGCAGAACAAATAGTGTTCCATATCGAACATTATCGCCGCATGTCCAAAAACAGAACGCACCTTGCCGTTAACAACCTATGCCGCCCTGCTACCGGATATTGTTTCATGTCTCATGTATATTCTAAATGCTCGCACGCATGTCTCATGTATATTGTAAATGCTCGCACGCATGTCTCATGTATATTCTAAATGCTCGCACGCATGTCTCGTGTATATTTTAAATGCTCGCACGCATGTCTCATGTATATTCTAAATGTTTGCACGCATACTGCAGGTGGCTGAAACACCTTCGCGCAAGCGATCGCGATGGGACAAGACACCCAGTCTACATGCCGGAGCGGAGACTCCAGTTGGAGGACAGGCCTTTGTGGGAGCCACGCCTGTAGGTAACATGGCGCTGGGCATGGAGACACCGATGAATATCATCCCCATGACCCCTGACCAGGAGAAATCGGTATGTATGTATGTATATATTCTTTTATGGGTTAATAATTTTTGTTTGGTGCTGAACTTGTCAATGTTGTGTATTTAGATTCTGTCTGGCAGGCGGGCTTAAGAGGTTTAGATTATATCTGAGGACAATTAAGTGAGTTTCTTATGAATCAACTGTAGAATTTTTCTGTACCCCTGTATGAAGTTTGTTGCATCTGCTCTTTAGAATTACTAACTGTCTGGCGTGTCGCCATACAGAAGATGCTGTATCCCACACTCGTTATGCATTGATGAAGCCGTCTGAGAACGTTTTGTGGTAGGTGTGCACCACCTTGCAGGCTCTATCAATGCCAGCCATATCTCACAATCAATTTCTCCTTATCGCATATTAGCGGTATCAGTCTGGTAGTCTTCACCACACACGTCGTGTTCTACATCTTATGGTGGATAAATATCGCCTTTGTGCCTAGCATCGAGCGAAGAGAGGTGTGCATTGCACTTTCTGTCGAGCATTACCGATAATAGCACCAGTAGAGGTATACGCACGCGCTGTTACCTGATCAACCTCCTGCGGGTGCACTATCATATTGTACCTTACCTTAGATTCTATCGCACATAAAGTGATCTAACATCACGAGGCAGCACACACTACTGTCATTAAACATGACAAACCACTTGTCAATATTCAAAACAACAGCAGAGGAACACACACATGGTCATACCATGTCAACACCTCATGCCTCTCTATCACGCGTTACTTTCCAATAGACTGTAACGCACAACCGGATTTGATCAATCACCACGACGCGGCACACACTCCTCTCTCTACGCATCATACCATAGCTAACCACTGGACCTTCTTCTACCACTCTCGGTTATACCAGGCCCGTATGGAGAGAGAACTGGATGACCGCAACCGACCCCTCACAGACGAAGACCTGGACGCTATGTTCCCGGCTGAAGGCTATGTTATTCTGGATGCCCCAGCGGGCTATGTACCGCTGATGACGCCAGGGCGCAAGATTACCGCCACCCCCACTCCTCGAGCCGACAACGGGTATGAGAGCAACCGATGCAATGGAGTGGACTGTGTAGTTGTACATCTACGGGTGCCGTTGATTTGTGTTGTGGGAGTGAATCGTGAGGCCATACCGTATTCCCGGCTGAGAGTTAATTTTATAGATATGGAAGGCAAATTCGTATGAAGCTAGAAAATATACCTGTAGGTTTCAATCATGCATTTTTCTCTTTTCGTGCCACATTATCTGCATGGATGGACTGTTTCGTGACACTGATTCGGCTGAAGGCTTGATTTCAAAGCTCCCGCTACATATATGCCGCTATTGACCTCTGGGCGCAAGTTGAACGCTATAACCCTACCCCTACTCCTTGAAAAGCTAATCTGTAGTGCCGATGTTTTGAGTGGAGACGTTAAATGTGTATGGTTTGTAAGGGTAGTCTACCTATCATTACTTCTACTCCTTGAAGCGGCTAAGCTTGTCTTTAGTGCCGATGTTTTGAGTGGAGACGTTAAATGTGTATGGTTTGTATGGGGTATCTACCTATCCTTCCCTCTACTCCTTGAAGCGGCTAAGCTTGTCTTTAGTGCCGATGTTTTGAGTGGCGACGTTAAATGTGTATGGTTTGTATGGGGTATCTACCTATCCTTACCTCTACTCCTTGAAGCGACTAAGCTTGTCTTTAGTGCCGATGTTTTGAGTGGAGACGTTAAATGTGTATGGTTCGTAGGAGGTGGATTCTGAATGTCCGATACATATATTTTGAATATATATATTGGTGCTCTTTGGTGTTTGCATCTTAGCGCGATATCGCTGTACCAATCGTATCTATCTTCCAATATAACCATATCCACTACAATTACAATCAACAATTCCTTACAACGTCGAGCACTAAAGATATGGATCACTCTTACACCCCACCGTGCACGCAGATTCATGATGGCTGAGGATGGCACCGCCATGACCGCAAAGGATTATGGACTGGAGGAAGCCCAACCCACCGACCAGAGTTTGCCAGGGCTGAAGCCTGATGATACACAGGTATGTTGTAATGGATTTTGCGAGCAGTAGATGTATATGGATATCAAGGCGTACGTGTCTGAGGCTTTACTTTCCCGTGTTTGTATATAAACATTCGTACATATAAGCCTTCAAATTTATATACCCGCCGTATGTGTATCATTACATAGGTATGTGTAGTCGCAGGCACGAACGCCAATGTAATCTTTGTTCGTATGAACTTTACGCTTCAAGTTTGTGCAGTCTCCTCCCCTTACCTCGTGATCGGTGCGCAACAGAGTGCCAGCCAGTGCAATGAATACCGACAGAGCTGTGTAACAAGCGTGAACTTATATATCGCCGAGTATAGTAGTCGTGACCTAACATCTTTGACTGTTATCACTTCCATCACTCAGTTGTCGTGACCTAACATCTTTGACTGTTATCACTTCCATCACTCAGTTGTCGTGACCTAACATCTTTGACTTTTATCACTTCCATCACTCAGTATTTTGGAAAGCTTCTCAACGAAGTCGACGGAGAAGAGCTGTCGCCTACCGAGGCAAAGGAACGTCGTATCATGAAACTTCTGCTGAAGATCAAGAATGGCACTCCCCCGATGCGCAAGAGTGCACTCCGACACATCACCGACAAAGCACGCGAGTTCGGTGCGGGCCCCTTATTCAATCAGGTATGGACTGTTGTCGTGCTCATGAGGCATACCAATCGTTTTGGCGGGTGAGATATATACTGCATGGATTCGTATTTGTATGTTATCTAGATGTGCGGTGAGTGATGACTGGTTATAGCTGATACGAAGAGAAATGCTCCGCGAAGTGCTATGAGACTACTTGCGGATGCACTTGAACGTTAGGGGAAGTAATATAAACGATAAGCTCAACAAGGATAGGTATCGATTTAATTTACATATATACATCCTCGTCAGATCAATACTCGGTGTCATATATTTCTTTGACAATTGATTCATCGACTGAACCTCGACTCTCCTCCAGATTCTGCCGTTGCTGATGTCGCCTTCCTTGGAAGATCAAGAGCGACATTTGCTGGTCAAAGTCATCGATCGTATCCTTTACAAGCTTGACGATCTCGTGCGGCCCTATGTACATAAGGTGTGTGCAGTAGTTAGATTGTGTAGAATCTTAGACCCTCGGCGCGGCATACCTATGATCTGATTATACTCCCTGTTAAGCGCATGCGAGATACACTTTGTGATGTCATTGCCTGTTTTGAATGGCTAGTGGGGGATTCAATCTCTTGCATGGCACATGGTGCAGACCCTCTTGCAGATTTTGTGCTGGCGTTCATCAGTTCCATATGCGATGCAATTTGGTGAGCCATGATCAGCCTCTGGTCCATGTGCGCATCTTTCCAATATCTCGAGTCTCTTTGCAGCGCAGTTTGTTTTCTGCCGTGCACAACCCATGCACTCACATCCTATCTCATATCAACAGATTCTGGTGGTGATTGAACCACTGCTGATTGATGAGGACTACTACGCCCGTGTCGAGGGTCGAGAGATTATCTCAAATTTGGCGAAAGCTGCGGGTTTGGCCACAATGATTTCCACTATGCGCCCTGGTATGTGTGCTCCATACGACACTGGTGGTGGATGATGTACTTTTCGTTTTGCATATCTGCTGAGCGTGTCTAGGACAATATATACTTGCATATATATATTTGTATATGTATATGTACATGCATGTATGTAGGTATGCATTTATGTGTGTATGATATATATATGTGTATGCGTGTGTGTGCGTGTATATATATATATATATAACCGATGAATGAGATTTTTTTGTATTCTTCAAAGTACTTGCAAATGATGTCTGTGCGGTGCTGTGCCTCCCGCTTCATATTCGTTCCTTTCTACTCGTCTCTACTATTCTCCAGCGCGTTGCTACGGACATGATCTGCGCCCTGAATCACAAGTTGCATAGACTGATTGATACGTGTGAAGTACCACCGGACATATTTGTGCCTTCTGTAACAAGTCGCGCTGCCCATTCTGCTAGCTATCCATAATATTATGAACATATGTGAGCAAGCTTGGCCCTAATGGTTCTATACAATCCAATACGTTTCGTCAGATATTGATAATCCCGATGAATACGTGCGAAACACCACGGCCCGAGCCTTTGCCGTAGTGGCCTCGGCACTGGGCATCCCCACACTGTTGCCTTTCCTCAAAGCGGTGTGCAAGAGTAAGAAGAGTTGGCAGGCGAGACACACAGGTAAGTGGGCGCGTCCAAGTGGCATGAGAATGCGTTGCACGTAAATGTTTGTACGTGTATGTTGTGTTGCAGCTTATCTGTGCGGCATTGGCATGTATTGTGTGTAGCGGTGCGTGTGGGTGTATATGTTGATGGCGGCAGACACCTCCTGTCAGCCGTAAATGTGTGACTACAACTGTTTGAGGGTGGGGTCGACAGAACGGACAGTCCTCAGCCAGTTGTTTCGATAGCCGTAGCAGTGTGAAACGTTTATGTCATTTTGTTGCAATGATTGGGAGGATCTACTCGGGAAATAGCCCTCGTTGAGGTGGCCTGTGCTGTTGTCAATAGACTTTATTCGTCTTTGTTGCAATTGCATTCAATAGACTTTATCCGTCTTTGTTGCAATTGCATTCAATAGACATTATTCGTCTTCGTTGCAATTGCATTAATAGACTTTATTCGTCTTTGTTGCAATTGCATTTTAATAGACTTTATTCGTCTTTGTTGCAGTTGCATTCAATAGACATTATTCGTCTTTGTTGCAATTGCATTCAATAGACCTTTTTCGTCTTTGATGCAATTGCATTTTAATAGACATTATTCGTCTTTGTTGCAGTTGCATTCAATAGACATTATTCGTCTTTGTTGCAATTGCATTCAATAGACTTTTTTCGTCTTTGTTGCAATTGCATTCAATAGACCTTATTCGTCTTTGTTGCAATTGTATTTAATAGACTTTATTCGTCTTTGTTGCAATTGCATTTAATAGACTTTATTCGTCTTTGTTGCAATTGCATTCAATAGACTTTATTCGTCATTGTTGCAATTGCATTGGATCGAAATATTAGACCACTGCCCCTGCTCGCCACTTTCCTAAAGCTGTGCAGTGCTGTCGCAACTCGTGTATTTTTTGCGCACTCCAAGCCGTACGTTGAGTAACTTCGTTTTTGCTGTGCTCAGGTATCAAGATCTGTCAGCAGATTGCCATCCTGATGGGTTGTGCGGTGCTGCCTCATCTGAAGAGTCTGGTGGAGATTATAGAGATGGGTCTAGTAGACGAGCAGCAGAAGGTACGTTCACCCCCGTCACCTGTACTACGGTGGTTACTATGGAGCGTAAATCTTCTACGGTCGAAGACCCTCTATGAGGATTGGCGTACTTGTGTGTGGTATCATATTACTTGTGTGCGTGTATGCCTGATAAAGTGTGTCTTGCAATCGATGTACAGGGAGTGGTATATATTCAAACTTGTTCCATTAGTTACCTTGTGTGGCCTAAACGCTTATCATTTGTTGCTTGTGCTTTACATGTTCCCGTATCTCTAAGATTCTCGTACCATACCGATATGACCTCATCCAACCAACCCCTTATACGTGTATACTGCTCGCACCTTTGCTTATGTAGTAGAGGCTTTCGTTCTGTTTCGAATCACCGTCCAACTCGCCACAGAACGGTGTGATTATACTTTGTGGACATTCAGTACAGTTAGGGTCCACTGCTTGCTTATACTGATACTCTGGCGCATTCTTTTGTTCTCCTTCTGCAGTGTCGTACCATCTGTGCGTTAGCCCTTGCGGCGCTGGCAGAGGCCGCAACACCATATGGTATAGAATCGTTTGATTCTGTGCTGCTGCCACTGTGGAGGGGTATCCGACAACATCACGGAAAAGGTTCGTACGTGTGCTAGTTTATCAGTTTCCTGGGCCCTTTGGAGCTATCAGAGTATACTGTGTGTGTTCGTTAATAAGTAGTTGGCGAAAAGACCCTGCAGTGTTGTCTGTGTCCTCATAGAGCATTGCACTCGATGGGGCATAATCCAAAATCGAAAGGTCTGCAAATAGGCCGAAATAGTATGTACTCTCATCCGTGGGGCTCAGGCTTCAAAAGAATCTGAGTCCTGAACGCGCGGTCGGAGACGATTTGCAGGACTTCCGTTCGCTTGCCGTTGTCGACGATGGAGCGCTTGTAGGCTTCTTGCTGATGACCGTAATGCGTTCACTACACCATCCATGCTATTTGATTTCATACCTCAACCTATGATTGATTCTGTGATGCTCCTATCAAGCCGTTTTTTCGTCGCTGTGATACGTATTGCCCTAAACAATAACGTATCGGGCTAAACATTTATCCTCTTGTGTAACCTTCTTTGTATCGCGTCATGTTATAATTTGCAACAGGTTTGGCTGCGTTTTTGAAGGCTATCGGATACATCATTCCGCTGATGAGTGAGGACCACGCCAACTACTACACACGAGAAGTGATGATTGTATTGATTCGGGAGTTCCAATCGCCCGATCCGGAAATGAAGAAGATTGTGTTGAAGGTAATGAAGTCGAAAATTTCGAGTTTTGTTTGATGAATTTGCTGTGTTGCTTTCAGAATTGGGTCACATCGTCTAAATATTTTCATTTGTCCGTGTCAGACCCAGTTGTCTTTGTATCAATATAAAGCTCTCGTGTACATAAAAGTGCGACCGACCGACTAGATTCATCTCTAATTGCTTTGCTTGTTCTGGGTGAAATGCATTGCCAAACACCCAAACAACACCAAACCCAAGGTTCCCATTCTATCCAGGGCCTCGCAAAATCACGTGCTTCCACTACAGATCAAGTGGATTGATTTTGTGCAGATACGAAAGCATACAGCTGCTCAATCATGTGAATCCGAATGCGCGGTTTTCTAGCATTCGAGTCGCAATGTTTCTCAGCATCCCATTCGCATTGGTCTATCCAGGTGGTCAAGCAATGTTGTGCCACAGATGGTGTGGAAGCTCAGTATATCCGTGAGGAGATTCTGCCGCCTTTCTTTGAGCAGTTCTGGGTGAGACGTACTGCGCCCGACAGACGGATCGCACGTCAATTGGTGGACACAACTGTGGAGTTGGCAAATAAGGTATGCATGGTCTCCGGAAGGGTGTATGAGTTTAACGAACATATAACTTAGTTCGCAAGTATGTACTAGCGTGCATAAATCTCGTATACGTCGAGTATGTGGTGTGTCGGGAGCGTGTACTAAGCAGTACAAATTAAAATCTTTAGTGTGCATTGGTACGCAAATGTTGTGCATTTTTGCTGGGTACGTTCTATTTTTTGGTCTGTAACTGATTGAGTTTCGGATTTATTTTCCATCGGGCTGTTCATGCATCCGGTACTCATGCGTGGTGATGTGCACTTCAGTTGAGCGCGTGCGTTCATACTAAAGACATTTAAGTTAAAAAGACCGCTTGATTTTATCGGGCATTACTATCACACCTCGTTGGCGACCCATGGACGCTGATGCAGAGCTACGCTCTACCAGAAGTGATCTATTGGTCGTTTTGCCGCTGATTCCTACACTTCCTACTTCGTATTTACAACCATGAGCTTACCTACACTCTCATATCAATTTTGGCTCCTATATTAAATCTCTTGCAAACTTGTTTCTATCCAAGCCTATGCGTCTACCCACGATCACCAACCACGCTCATTCTCTTGTCTATGCAAATGTCTATATTCTCAGGTGGGAGTCTCAGAGATCATTGGCCGAATCGTCAATGATCTGAAGGATGAATCGGAACCCTACCGTAAGATGGTGATGGAGTGTGTGGAGAAAGTCCTGGGCAATCTCGGTGCCGCTGATGTGGACCAGAGGTTAGAGGAGCTGTTGATCGATGGCATCCTGTTCGCTTTCCAGGTATAATTTACCGATTTCGCGTTGCTATTTCATCATTTTTTAACGTATCGTATCATATCATATCATTTCACATATCATTTCATTTCATATATATAAATATGGCGCTTTTTTCGTAACCCCAATCAACGCGACAATTTCCACACCCATAGGAACAAACCACTGAGGACAGTGTCATGCTGAACGGTTTCGGTACCATTGTGAACGTACTAGGTATCCGCACAAAGCCCTACCTGCCGCAGATAGTGGGAGTGTTGCTATGGCGACTCAACAATCGCAGCGCAAAGGTGCGCCAGCAGAGTGCCGATCTCATGTCGCGCATTGCGGTGGTGATGAAAACCTGTAATGAAGACAAGCTCATGTCCCAGGTATGTCCTAATGAGGCCCATTTAGTATTGCTTAGGGCCAGAGAGTTGTTGCTGATGACCAGTGCTTGCTACCGTAGAACTGTTGGGTTGTGTATGATCTTCACGGCCATTTTCCACTTCATTTCCAATGTGGGCTGATACAGATTCTTCTTTTTCTCTGTGTGTGTGTAATTTCCAACACAACGTATTCGATATTCACGTAAATGGTTGTAGTCACACTCGCCGAACATGACGTACTACCTTTTGTTTGCACGTACACAATGGTTCTGTGCTGGTTCGTGCCCGTCACCTAAGACGTTAGTATGAGTATAACATCGTTTGTTATTGATATAATGGAGCGCATGCCGTTGTGTTGGTACACCATGCTTAAAATTCGCATACCTTTGCCATATCTGTCATGGTTAGAGCTCTTGACTCTTCTACTGCAATGCTAACTTTTCACATGCTACATTATACTTCGGCCTCATACAGCTTGGTTTGGTGTTGTATGAGTACCTTGGTGAAGAGTACCCGGAGGTGCTGGGTTCAATTCTGGGCGCCTTGAAGGCGGTTGTCAATGTGATCGGCATGTCCAAAATGACTCCCCCGATCCGAGATCTGTTACCACGACTTACCCCAATTCTGAAAAATAGGCACGAGAAGGTGCAGGAGAACTGCATCGATTTGGTACGTCAATGCGGCCTCCAACAAACCGATTGTTTGCATTATAGTGCTTTGGTCATTAACCGGTCCAGCGTGCGCGTTTGTGCACTTGGTTGTGATTGAAAACATGCGTGTGCGTATATGGTTATGTTGTAGCTTTTTTAGCCTATCGAAGTGTGTACTCGTATGGCAGTTGCAAAGCAGCACACATATGTGTGCCAATAATTCACTGGGACAATTATGCAGAACAGTCCCCCACCTTGCACAACACTCTCAAAACATCACCTCACATATCACAAATGTGCTCATCATCATCTCGAACATCGCAGTAGTGCACTGTTGGATCTTCCCACATATCGCACAAGTACCAACAATTTGTATACTCACAGATCTTACCAAGCCCTTATATACGGCTTTCACACAACACAGAAATACCAAAGTCTTAGATATCCACAGATTTAAAAGGTCACAGCTCCGCTTCATCCTACGTCGACTTACGTGAACGTCATTATCGCTGCAGGTGGGACGTATAGCCGACAGGGGTGCCGAGTACGTAGGTGCGCGAGAATGGATGCGCATTTGCTTTGAGTTGTTGGAATTACTGAAGGCGCACAAGAAGAGTATCAGAAGGGCGGCCGTCAACACATTTGGTTACATTGCAAAGGCGATCGGTCCACAGGATGTGCTCATTACTCTTCTAAACAATTTGAAGGTGGGTTGCTCAATTGTCAAATGTGATATATATATATATATATGTGTGTGTGTGTGTGTTTGTGTTTGTGTTTGTATGTATGCTTGTGTGTGTGTGTGTATGCTTTTAGATGTGTGTGTGTATTTATCATGGGGGCATCCACCTGTGGCTAGCAAGCGTGATTTAGAAGCGCCATTGTTATACAGTATGATACTAGTCTAGCATCACACATTAGCAAATACTGGACATATATATCAACTTAGCCAAGTTGTCATGAAGTCGATGTATATCCCGTTGTGCACTGTAGTCTCATATTGTCAGACACTCAAACGCGAAACTTTTCGCTCAGTGTTTTTTGGATATCCTCCACAACATCTCTCAATGTACTCTGATGTTTACACATACCTTGCCAAACCCTTTCTCGGTTCATCTTCCCTTTCAGTCTATCAACCCCTGGGCTCTACTAGATTATATCCCTTATTAACTCTCCTCTCGCACAATCACACACGCCCCAGGTACAAGAGCGACAAAACCGTGTGTGCACGACGGTTGCGATAGCTATCGTGGCCGAGACCTGCTCGCCATTCACGGTCATCCCTCATCTGATGAACGAGTACCGTGTGCCCGAGCTCAATGTGCAGAACGGGGTGCTGAAGAGTCTGAGTTTTGTGTTTGAATACATCGGCGAGATGGGCAAGGATTACATCTACGCAGTGACGCCGTTACTGGAGGATGCGCTCATGGACCGTGACTTGGTATGTAAAGACTTTGTCATCGGAAGCTTGTGCTCTTTCCTGCTCGTTGTACAACTATGTGTATGTGTTGAGAATGCGTTTAAGTTTCAGTACAAGTTTGTGTAAGACGTTCCGCGGTAAATTCTAAGCAATCGCAGGCGTATTTGGTCATCTGACTTTTTAATCAGGTCGCAGCGGAAGAAAGTGCCGTACTTAAATTGGGCGTGTTTAACTGTTTTATTACTCAAAGCAAATTCCATACATTTTTTATTTTTATTTTTGGCTGTGCTGCGTATGATACCACACTCTCTTCTACTACGTGCTTTCTATACATATGATTGTATAGGCCCTACATCACTGAGCTAGTATCCCGACCCCTATCTAGCATCTCTCTCTCTCTTCGTTGCCATGCACTTAAAGCGGACATTCCTTCACCTTCCTGCCTTCCTCAAGATTTCATCGCCAATGTATCGTTTGCAATACGCCACTGAATATACCACCCATATTCCCACTCACTCTCCACTCTCGTCACCATGGTGATACTTTCAATACACTAGGTCCATCGACAAACAGCATGCACAGTAGTCAAACACATGTCATTGGGTGTGATTGGCTTCGGCTGTGAAGACGCCATGACTCATCTGCTCAACTTCGTGTGGCCGAACATCTTTGAAACATCACCGCACGTCATCAACGCCACAATGGACGCTGTGCTGGGTCTAACCTTCTGTTTGGGACCCGCTCGAGTGTTACAGTACACGTTGCAGGTATGTGTATTGGCATAAGCTGCAAAATAGATTTCAGTGTGTGCTCGATTTTAAAGTCCGCATTGTAAACACATGTGTCAGCTTAAAAAAAATAGGATTGAGAGTTTTGTTTTGGGGCGACCAGTGGTTGGTTTAAGAGTGTGTGTTTGAGCTTGGAGTTTTACTTATCATGGGTTGGGATTTTGAATTCCTCAAGTGTGTGTGTTTGAAATCTAGTGTAAAACATTATCTCGACTGAAATCCGAAAAGGATACATCTGGATTTGAACCGATTACAATATCTACTATATCGCTCGTTGAGATCCGACTGTGGTGTCTAGACATCCAAGGATGTAATAGAAGTTTGGTTGACAGTCTGACGTAGTTCAGCCTATCTCATTGTTATGCGATTACGCGACTTCTCTTATTCATTGGCCCTATCTTGCCTCATTAATTTGCAGGGTCTATTCCATCCGGCGAGAAAAGTACGGGATGTATATTGGAAGATATACAACAACATATATATAGGTATGTTTGTTTCCGACTCTAAATGCGCATATCGCTTATACCTTCTATTGCTATCAGTATTTGGGCCACCATAGACTGCTGTGTGGTGGATGAGGGGCACTACTCCAACACGCCTATATTGTATGAATGCTAGCAAAACATACTACAATACTTGGTGAGACACATCGCTATATTGAACGACCTTAGACGCACTGATCGCGAGGTTTGTGTTGCTCTTGCGATTGTTCCGTTTTTGTGTTGAGTCTGTGTAAGTAATATCAACTTTTCACTCCAATCAGCGCACCACATATATCGCATCTGTTGGCTGTGACATTTCTTTTCCAGTCTAAAATCGTGTACTAGTATGCAATTGCTTGAGAATTAGAGCCCAGGAGCTGTGCCCCAAGCTAACAGAGTTTCACAGATGGGGTGGTGATGGTATGATGTACACAATTGAAGTCCGTACAATTCCCATCGCGTGCATATGGCTGCTGAGCTGCAGTTGGTCTTTGAGTGTGAAACCATCGGGCAGATTAGTACTGGGGGCGTTGCATTAAGTGAATACTCCTGTATAATATTTCAAGAGTGGTCGCGATTATTCTTGTCAGTGTATGAATTTACTGTTTGATGATTTTACTTTCGTATGCGCTCAGCGAATTAAACATAGTATTCAATTTTGACTGCGAAAAGGTCATTGTACGTATATGCATATATGCACTTTCTATGTACACAGTTGCGCACATACTAAATGCACTCGTACACCAGTTCACTTCATTTGTGCTCTATTTGTAGCTCTTTCCTTACAGACATGTTTCGGATGCTTTCTGTCCCGCATTGTGCTCTTGTTCCTTGATTCATTTTCAGAACACTCGATGATGATACCTTGACACGTCGCTAATGTAAATGATCTATTCATTATTTTTGTGTACCGAAACAGGGATGCAAGACGGACTCATACCAGCGTATCCTCGCATCGGCGATGACGACAGAAATAATTACGAGAGACCGGAACTGGATTACATCATCTAAATATGATTACATTTATTTATTGCTTTAGCTGATATGCACCTTAGGCGATAAATATTACAATTAAAAAATTACTGATGGGCTTCTTACATCATTTAAATACGATGACAACTATCTATTGCTTTAGCAGATATGCACCTTAGGCAAAAAAAAATACAATTTAAATAAATTGATGTTAGACTCCTTGTGAATTGTGGCCGATTTCTAAATTTGATCAATTTTTATAGCGTGCGGTCCGTGTTCGATGACTGACAGTGTGTTTTAATACATCTCATATCCGACAATACTCAGCCATGGTTAGATGCACAAGTGTCTCATTACATCGAAACTGACAATTTTAAGAGCTTGAGTAAGCACATGATTTGTCAGTATACAGAGCAAATACTTGTCAGTGGCAAGAGTAAATTTTAGCGGAATGCGGTCGAATTCAGTCAAGATTGAGAGTCTTTGAAGTGTGACCGATGGTATACCAGAGGTGTCATGAATACCGATTCAAATTCCCTAAAACAAATGCCGGTGAAAGTTCTAGCTGCACCCAAATCTGTGTCGTCACTACCAGTCAGATTCACAAAATAGCTACACATATCTTCGAGATGCCCTTTCCCTTGTACTATGTAAAGAAAGCCGTCATAGATCGACCCCTTGGCTATGAAAATCATTTCGCTAGGGGCAGCATATGCTACACTTTTTATCGAAACATACCATCGATCGTATGCGCCATATCAAGTAAGTGATATACTGAATATAGATACTTTATTGAAAATTTGGTCTTGAAATATGTTCAAATAAATCTGTGGTGCTCGTTGTTGATTATTGCACTCGGGGGTTCATAAATCCAATCTCCGACGCACCACACCTGCATGCAATGACGTTTGACACTCGATAGCATTTGACAGATATCGGTGGCTAATGTCGTTCAGCTGGCATCCAAAGCACATGTAGCCATGTTGGTTGCGCGTCCAACCGATTCCAGAGCACTACCGTTCTGCTCCCCGCGGCCTCTATGCCAGCCACAACTATTCCATACATGGCACTATCAAAGTAGCTGTCTCCTGTGTAGCTATGAGTCGCTCACGGTCAGAGCAATGAATCTTTTCGCTTTCAATCCCTCTTACAATACCACCGATCACACCTCGACGCTGTGAAGGAATTGCTCTTACACTCGTCAGCATGAAAACCTGTCACCAGACGACGACAGTGGTAACATGGAACTGATCATGGCGTAAGTTGGGTTTTGTATTTGGCTGTTCGAATCTTGTAGTTGTAATATGACTGTTTAATAAGATAACACCTACATATATTAACTATATGAAGTCTTCGTATACCTAAGTACGATATGTTATACAATCGAAACTTTGTATTGGTTAGAAATCTAATAGGGACGAAAATACTCTGGTGTCTATAAAAAATATATAAATTCCGGATCCAAACAAAAGTGTGATGCTATCAATAAATTGAAATACTGTTATTCTCACGCATCTGCCTGCCTGATGCCAGTGAAAATTATCAATGCAGTTAGACGTCATCAGGTAGACCGGATGCATAGCTTACGGCAGATTACAGTACACGTGCTGTGCTTTTATTTTGTGCCTTCGCTGTTAATTGTCATGTCTCTTAGAACACATTTCAATGTATTGGTAAAAAGATCATGTGTTCAGACACGTACCATCGAGCAACCTCCTGCGAACGGAGGTAGCCAAATTGTACGGAAGTCGATACTACTGTATATCCCCACTAACTGTGTTACGAAAGTGAATGCATCAAAATATATTTTATATCCATTGATAACCATATCTTCGAGGCGTTCCTTGTCCAAGACGCACATTAGATGATGCAAACAACAAGCAAACAAACCCAGAAGGTGTAGAATATCGCAGCAATGTAGGATTTTCTATAAGCAGCGGCAAGTACTGTTTTTTATCGTCCTGTTTATGATCAGTCGGGAGTGATACCCGCGAGCGAGTGCCTAGGTTCCAGGCACGAACAGTTGTGGACCCTGACTTACAAGTACAAGGGTTTATGGTGGGTTCGGCATCATCCCATGGGAGAAATCCAGCAGCCGAACCTTCAGCGGTGAATCGAGGCCCATAACCTGTAGAATAGAAATAAAGTTCTTAACCCGAATGAATAATTTTATTTGGTTGATGTCAGACATATTTAGTTATAAGTCTATGCTAGGTGTAAATATCCGTTCAGGCCATGCGGTCGGAGGTACGGATAACTAGTGATGTGTTTAGGATTTATAGAGAGAGTAATTCTTACTCTACACCCCCCTTGAAGCTAAACTCTGATACGCTGAGACCGTACCTATTTACGAAGTAGCCGTAGTAACCAAATAGATTGAGCCTTGGCGAAGTAATCGTCATGGGCGTATAATAACATGGCACTGAAATGTTCGTGTTTCGGTCGAGATAAGCTCTTGGTGAGTAAATCCGCGGGATTGTCATATGTAGAAATGTAATGAAGGTCGATGACGTTGCGTCGAGCGCAGTCGCGTATGTAGTGTTCCTTGACCTCAATGTGTTTGAGACCTTTTCGTGTGCATGTGCCCAAAAATACCTTAATGGCAAATTGGTTGTCTATATGTAATATAGTGGGTGCTTGCAATGTGTGTTTCATGCCTTCTAATATAATGCAGATTCAAGCTATGTTTCGCGTGATTTCGGCGGCGGCAATATATTCTGCTTCACCACTGCTGCCGGCGATGGTCTTTTGTTTAGCAGATTTGCATAAAATAGGTGTGCTGTTAAGAGCGCCACTCTGAAACTTGCGTGTGCCGAGGCAGGTACCCCAATCTGAATCAGAACAGGCTTGCAATGATTTAGCTGTGGGTGTGTTTGTTGTAAAATGTTTGGTGGCAGATAGATATGATAAAATACGCTGTAGCGCCGTCCAATGTGATGTGAGGGGTTTGTTGCTGTATGATGCAAGTTGGTTAAGTGTGCAGGCAATATTCGAACGGGACATGTTAGCCACAAAACCTAGTGCCCTTAAGAGTGATCTGTATTTTTCATGACAGGAATCGCTTGTCAGTGAACTGGGGTGAAGATGAGTGCCGGGAGTAGCCTTTGTTGGAGAGTCCACAAGTTCGAAGGTATCAAGGAGTATTTGAACGTATACCTTTTGGCCGATTTCGATGCAGCCATCAGGATGCTGTTGGGTTTTAAGTCCGACAGGGTGACGTGCGAGTCCCAGGTTCTTGATAATGTAGTGTTTCGCTAAGTTTTGAAATAGCCAGAGTGCATCTTGGGTATTTCGTATGACCTTAGGAACTATTTGGTCGACATATAGAACAATAGTGATATCCTTAGTAGAGTGGACCCAAGTTGATTCATCGGCTTCAGTACGGGCGAATCCAATGAATTGTAGTTTATCGCCCATATCAAAATTACACAGTCTACCAGACTGTTTTAAGCCATATAAGCCGCGCGTAAGTTTGAGTACCGTCTCGGGTTGGTAAAATCCTAATTCGGCAGCCCCTCTCGGGGGATACGTATATTCAGGAATACCTAATTTTGCGTAAAGATAAGCTGTGGCAACATCGACATGATGGATCTCTTTGTTCTCGTAGGCGGCGGTAGCGATGAAAGTGCGAAGGGCAACCGATGAAGCTGCTGGAGCGTATGTTTCACTATATGAGTCGCCGTGTTGCTGTTGGTCGCCCCCTAGCAACCATGCGGGGCTTTTAAATGGTCAGTTTTCCATTTCATCATGCTTTCGAACAAGTACGTACTTAGAATGTATGATACGTGTATTACGTGGAACCTGGGATTGGGGTATGATGTCATGCCTGATGTTCGGTATCGATAGCGGCCTTCCATAGTGGCCAGTTGGGCATTCGTTGGGCTTGGGCGATACTCTTAGGTACGGCGAGGTCCATCATTACTAGTGTTTCCAAAAGAGTGGGATCACATCAGTATGTGGGCTGTGTGGAACGGACGTGAACAGCGGGAGTGGAGTCAATAAGTGGCCGATGGTGGAGAGTAGGGTCTGATATGTGCCCACTTTCAGCTATGATACTGAGAGTGGAGTCATCGTGTGGGAAAGGTGTGGATGGAGGGCACTCGTCCAAAACGCTGAGGTTGATATCAGTATCAGTGTGATGATGGTTGTCGCGTATAAGTTCGTATTCTGAATTCGAGTCAGAAGAGACTTCGTCGAAAGTATTTTTTGTGTCATTTGCAATATTGCTGCCAAATGAGTGTACTGATGAGTGTGTGGAAGGAGGAGGGGAGGTCGGAGTGGGTGTGTCGATGTCTGTGGTCATGGTGGCCAGGGGAAGAGTCAGTGTCGTCTGGGGAAGTGTCGTCTAGTGTAGTGGGTGTATGAGGTGGAGGTAGTGTCCCAACGGTTGGGGGGGGGGGGGTGGGTACTGATTTGTGGTATAGTGATAGTCGCAAGGGTTGTGGAAGTATGCCAGTCTGTCGGTGTAGCATAGGAAGTGGGGGTGTCGATGAGTGTTGCGCGGTTGCCGTCAGGAGACCACTGGGGTCTCTTGTCGGGGAGGAAAACAACGTTTTGAGAGTCCCGGTGGCGTTGTGCACAAATGCTTTGTATATGCCATGTATCGGGGGTGGAGTTGTGTGAACGTCCAAGTAGAATTCCACACCCCCCTTGAGTAGCATACTTGTCGGCTGACTTCTTAGGTAGCCCCTCCGGTTTAAATATGACAAGGCAGCCAAACCGAGCGTTGTGTGGTCGTGGAATTTCTTTACGGTGCCATATGTCAATTGGAGTATGATGTAATGCCCTTTGTGGTAGTGTGTCATTTCTGATCATATCTGCCCAACGTTTTGCGTCACTCCACAATTGCCAGGGCATCCTTGCATCAATGAGTTTGGTGCGAGTGAGGTCGTTGAGGGTACATTGCGGTCGTTCAACTTTTCCATTGAGTTGTTGGGTATGTGGTGGTGTTTTCGTAAAGTGAATTTTGTGTGTTTGAAGCATAGACACGGTTTTGGCACAAACAAACGTGGTGTCACCGTCTGCTGTCAATGTGTGGGGTTTCTAATATGTTGGAATCTGTAGGATGAGTTTTTCAAGATGGATATGCATGTCTTGCTTTGTCTTAAGATTAGCGTGCAGGCCAAAACGGCTGCCATCATCAATAAGGTTGAGGGTATAGCGGTACCCGTAGTGATCTTCGAGCATAGGACCCAGGAGGTCGAGGGGGAATTGTTCACCAGGACCGACTTTAGTGGTCGAATCGGTATGTGCTACATTTTGCGCCTTGACCTTTCCTTCCATACATACGTGACAATGCTTTGTAAATCCCGGGTCGGCCAAGACATGTGTAATAGCAGTATGGAGTTCGTGTGGGGGGGGAAATGGCTGAGTGAACGGGTTCAATTTTGGCGATGAGAGAGTAAGCCCAGGAAGGTTTTCCTACCGCGGTGAAATCGTGGCGAAGGATAGTGCTAGGGTGGTTCTGGAATATATATAAAGCATACTGAAAGCGCACAAGAAGCTTATTCCACCACTTTGCGTGTGGACGGAGTGGGATGAGTATTGCGGCGGTAGCGGCGGTATTGATAATGCTGTCGAGTAGTTCAGATGTGTCTGGCCAAATTGGATTAGCGTATGCTCGTTCCTTCAGAAGATCTATTTTACGCCCGTCTGTGGCAACGCGTACACTTGTAAGCAAATAGGTCAATGGAGGGTTGGAATTCTATGTGATTCATGCCTTGTTGAAAATCTTGCATATTGATCATCCATTCTTCCGTTGTCACTCCGACAGGTGGTGTGTGCGTCAGTATGATCCCTTTCTTGGCTGTCATTTTTAAAGTGGTGTTGCGGCTGCGATGGCTATTGATGCTGTGGAATTCATCGTATGTTTGTGTGGTGGTCGAAGTTGTAAGATTCGGTGATGCTGGGGTTGTGGTGTCCGCGGTGGGTGCTGGGGTGGCGGTACATACCATAGGTGGCGTGGCGCAAGATGTACCTGTGTGTTGTGGTGCGTCATGATTGTTATTCTCAGTGGTGGATATGATTTGTGTAATAATGTCTGAGCAAGATGCTTTATACCCCCTTTGAGTACGAGGGATAGAAAGGGTGTTATTGACCTTGGAGAGAATACAAGTCTTTGTGTTGCCCTTAAAGTAGATGTCGTAGCCACCTTCTTGTAAATTGTTCTGAGATAGCAATTGCTGTTTCACTGTTGGACTGATATATATGGTACCCAGTTGCGGTAAGTGGCCGCGTTCGTCGACGATACATTCGCTGTCGTCCGCGAGAAGTAGTGGGAAAGTTCCTGTCTCGATCTTGCATCGAGCAAGTATCGTGAGTTGTGACGGCACCGCCATCGATAAGGAAGCTATTATTGGGGTTGTGTAGTGCCTTGATTCTGGGGCGTAAGGATGCTAAAGTGGGACCAACATAATTGTAGTTCTGTTTATTTATACGTTTGTTACAGACTTCCTGGACATGGCTGGTGCGATTACATGTAGTACAGTTCAGGTTGGTCGCGGTGCAAGATTCCCCTTTGTGTCCTTTCGCACCACATTTTTTACACCCTTTGTGATGATTGTTAGAACTATGGCCTGTGGTATAGCACACAAAACACGGTATGGGAGGGCGTGTGGTAGGTGTCCTCCGCTTCAATAGTGTAACCAATAAAGCGGCCGTAGTTGGAGGTGATTTGGATGCTGATGTGGTGGAGATAGCTGCTGTCTTAGGGGTAGCGTATGCGTTGACCATGGGGGTGACTTTGTTCCACTACTCTAGTCGTACACATAAGTCAATAGGTGTAAGGGTTTCACGTTCAGCATTATTGACCAAGTAATGTTTGATTATATCCTTGTCGGGGTCGCCGAGACCCGATATAAACATACCTTGCATGAAGGCCGGAGAGAAGCGGGTGCCTTGGGATTTAGCATCAGTACAGATGCGAGCACATCGTCGGGACCAAGCTCGGATAGTGTCATCTTCGGCTCGACGAAATTCTTGTAGGAGTTCAAGAGTGATTGTATTCGAAACGTTTGTCGACATATGAGAATACAATTTCTTGAGATAGAAGAGTAGAGTCCAGGGGTCGTCCATGAGTTCCTCACGTGCGAGTGAGTCCATGACCTCCTCGCTAAGTGATCGAAGTAGACATCGCCGCACCTTTGGTAGCGTCCGTAATCTTTAGTTAGTGTTTTTGCTGAAGGTTTTGCGGGCTTCCAATCGTCTTCGATCTGTGGCTGGTGTCTGTTTTTTGACTGGTGAAGCTGCAGGGCGTGCTAATAGTTCTTGTTTGACATATTTGTAGTTGAAAACTGATTCAATGTCACCTACATAGTCTGTATTGGCTGCAAGTGTAAGATACTGTAACCATTTGTCGTAGTTGTCGCCTGTTATGTTCAGACGTGTCCACTTCAGTTCTTAGTTGGGTTCTGAAACATCCATGATGATAGGGTTGTCTGATTTTAAGTGTTGCAATCCTAGGTATTGACCTAGATGATAGGAACATAATAATTGAGACAATGTTAAGTGGTTGTAAAAGAAAGAAAAAAAAGCGTGGTCAAAGAGGGGACAGATGTGAGGAAGGGTCCAGGATGCCGACGAGGCGAATGGATGGTCCGGACCTTGTAAGGGGGCCAGGTGAACAGCCAGCGAGTGAACAACATCAGTAGTGTAGGAAGGATTCGTTTGCTGCAGAAGCAGCGGTCGGCGATGAAAGGAGAACAGAGGGAGTGAGAGTGTTCTTGGCAGCAGCGCCTCAGTACTCGGTAGGTGAAAAATGATATTCTAGGTTGTGTTCAATGGCTGGCAACAAATCGCTGAACCGCTGACAGATTAGAATGAGCAACAGTTGCAATCGTTACAGCAAATTCAGGAGTTCCAGAAAGGGCACAAGGGTGGTCAAACTGACGATCGGACTTATAAGGAAGATGTTTTGCCTCGGGCCCACTCGGAGATACGCTATGCAGCCCAACCCACACAAAATCTTTCAGTATCAGACCGTGTGGAAGATTATAGCGGGAGTATGACTGTAGTGTTCCAGAGGGTAGAGGTGCTTTGGCTTAAGAGAAGGCTACCCCGTTCTATGTTTGATGTATTGGGTGGTCAGAAAGTGGTGCCAACTTGGAAAAGTGGGAAGGGTGCAAAGCCAGCCCTTGTGTTAAGTTTGGTCTGGTCCTTCCCTAAAACAAAAGGTGTGCACGACCGCCAAGGATCAGAGGGTTATTTTAGAATATCCCGCGGGATCTGAACACTTTTGTCACATTTACGATGTGTATTGCCCGCAGAAGGGCAACGGTGTGTTTGAGGCGCGGGCTTCTATGCCAGCTGACACGGGCACGGGTGTTTGGTGCAGCAAGCCACATGGATTATTACTATCACACTCGTAGTCCGGATGGGTATAATTTCATCTTATTGATTATTGGTAGTATGTCGCGCATAGCGGCGGGGCGGCCCATACGACGGCATGAACATACATTCGCGAAGACCAACCGATTTGTAGAACAGCAGATAGTTCCGTGGGGATGGCCACAACGCCAGTTAACTGCGGACGAGGACAGTACATTGATGGTCAACGAGTCTACCGCGTGGTGCGCTTCAAAGTAGATCTGAGTGGACCCGGTACGAAAGGCAGTTTAGCCGACAGCAGGCAAATGAGCTGGTAGAGGTGCTCTGTCTTACATGCAACCGCTGACTCTCACGCTTTCGCTCGGCTGCAAACGAGGCTATTTGGGCCGGGCGCAATAGCAGAGTTCATTTCAGCGTACAACGCAATTCAGTCATTCACAACAGGTTTGGCGCCGTACACCCGGGCAACAAACGACCGGTTGTTCTCCCAGCATGCAGATGGTAATCTGGTGGAAATCATCAAGGGTGACAACAGGTGACTTCGCTACACCAGAACTCTTGGAACTCGAGCCGGTGGTGGTGGAGAAGCAAGCGTGGGCAATGGACGGCAAGGCTCAGTTGGCACAGGCTCGAGCAGCAAATAAGTAGAGGGACAATGTGCCAATGTTCAACGTGGGCCGGATGGTGATGTTTTGGTCAGCAAAGTTTCTCTACGGTTCTCAAGCGGAGTTTGTGGGCCGGCGGAGGTGGCCACGTTAAATCCGCCGGTGTACCACATTGTAAGATTTCGGGCAACGGGCAAGTTGTATCGGGTTCACGTTGCGGACATGCGGGCGTATCGTATACCCATAGGCAAGCTAGAGCGCGGCAAGGCACAGCTGTGCCCTACGGGTACCATGTACACGAATTTGCTCCTATATGACAGTCCGTTCGATGTCACCCCGGATGAGGAGAGGAATGCAGTCATTGGAACCTTTACGACTTGTCTGGAGGCGGCGTCATGGCAGACTGGGATTAACACTTGTTGAGCTCAGTTGTGGGTGGCGTTCACCTATGCCCATAAACATACACGTACAAACTTATTCGAACACAGCGTATTGCATACAGCCCCGAGTGCCGACAAAGCCGTCTACAGCTCTGGGAGGTACGACAAGAGGGTCTAGTTTGGCAGGACAGGGATAAGGAGCGGCTCGGTCATATAATTATATCCATACACCACGATGAAGGGGATTTCCTACGGTACCAACAACTATACTTTATACACATATATGTGCAAGCTTGCATCACCAGAGTGGCCAGCTTTCTTTATATACATTCATATGAACGGACCAATCCTGTCATCGGAACTTTCACATGTCTGGAGGCAGTGTCATGTCAGACTGAAATTAACACTTGTTGAGCTCGGCGGGTAGCGTTCACCTATGCCTATAAACATACTCGTACAAACTTATTTGAGCACAGCGCATTGCATACAGCCCCGAGTGCCGACAAAGCCGTCTACAGCTCTGGCAGGTTCGACAAGTGGGCCTAGTTTGGCAGGGCAGGGATAAGGAGAGGTTCGGTCATATATTTATATTCATACAACACGAGAGAGTCTTCCTAGGATGCCAACAACTATACTATATACACATATATGTGTAAGCTTGCGTCACCAGAGTGGCCAGGTTTCTTTATATACTATCATATGAACGGGCCAGCCTGTCAGCTATGCGGCACGCTTCGTCGATAGACTTAACTGCTTCATCGACAGACGTACGTGCTTGGAGGGATGCAATGACCTACAGGGCTGGAGTTCGGTACACGGAGGGTACCAAACTACGAGGGGTCAGCACACAATGATTGACAGCAGATGGGATCGGAGAGTCACATACATAATGATTAACAGCTATATTGAGAAGACTTTGCGAGTAGTTACACAATGTGCAGTAACTTGTTGGTGGGATGCACTACTTCAATGGAGGTAGGTGTATGTCTGTGGCCGCAGGAGGTCCTGGTTAGCTGGCTTCATCTATACCAGATGCATGAAGGAAAGGACCACGAGGAAAGATGCAGATACTGGAAATGAAGATGCCACGAGGGTACTGAGAGAGACGGGAAAATATATTGTTATCGCCGAAAGCTAAGGATAGTGAAATAGCTACACATATATGACATATACAAGGAAGTGCCCTGATCATTCAGCTATAAATCTCAGAGGCACAACAAATAGACTGAGCATTGACACTCTTATTACTGTATGTTAACCTTGACAAAATATTAAATATCCTGGAGTCTGGTGTATGTCTAAAATGTGATAAATTCCGGATCCAAACGAAATTGTGATGCTGTCAATAGTTAATATACTCCTTTGATACAATATATTGATTCATGTGCCCGCCTGTCGCCAGTGGAGTTTGTCAATGTAGTCAGAAGCCAGCAAGTAGTCCGAACGATAAATTTACAGCAGATTACAATATACGTGCTGTGCTTTTATTCTGTGCCTCAATGTTATTCGGCATGTCTTTTAGAATACGTCTCAATGTATTGACAAGAATATATGTCCAGACACGTACCATCGAACGTGATCAAGTTGTACGGAGTCGATAATACTATACTTCCCCACTAACTGTGTTACGAAAGCGAATACAACAAAATGCTTCTTGGAACCATGTCTAAGCATATGTTCGAGGTGCCCCATTGTACCACACATTAGATGATGCAAACAACATGCAAGCGGGTAGAATATCGTATCGATGTAGGGTTTCGTATAGTTGATTGACTGCACAGACCATAGTACAAGTAACAAAACTTGTCGCAGAAGCGAAGCCTTTTTGTCTATGCAAAATTCATTCCGGTAGGGGCAGCAATGCTGCATTTTTTATCGAAGCATCTAATTTATATGGCACGTGCCATATCAAGTAAGTGATGTACTATATAGATATGGTTTTTTATACTGTTTTGTCTGGAAATATGTTCAAATATACTTGCGATGCTCATTTTTCTTGCTTATGGCACTAGGGGGTTCATAAATCCAATATTCGAAGTACCACACATTCATGCGATGACTGCTTTCATGTGAATTTTTGAACTCTGTGAAAGTCAACCTTATTTACATTTTATCTATACTATTTCTCGCCAAAATTGAACGGCCCTCTCGGCTCGAAAATTTTCTTTTGCCAAAGAAATTCCACCGGATGCGTGCGGTCTACTTCAATTCCATCTCTGAAAACACAAACACAATATTTACAAACACAATTAATCTTAAGTCCAATATCTCAACGAATAGTCACTCAAAGAAAACGGCCAAGGTGTCATATTAACGAGAAGATTATTCCCTATAAATGATACATGTCACATAATCGTACATTCAATAAGTGAAACAAAATCGGCACACAAAATATGTTCGTAAACACAACATATGAAAACACACTTAGAATATCAATTTGTCGACGAACTAAGTCTGAGTCCAATACTTCATCATCCAGGCCTGACAATATGATTTTTAACACTCCCCTATGGACAAAAGATCTGAAACAACGAACGACATGTGTCTCCCCCACAAACTGACCACAACGACATAGAGATGTAGTCACGACAGCATATCGGTAACATCGGTGTTTCATCATGTGGCCTCGGTGCTTCACGAAGGCAACGTTAGGCAACGCCTTGGTCAATGCATCTGCAATCATCAAATCAGACCAGCAGTCCTCCAATACGACAGTCTTCTTTGCACATAGCTCTCGCACATAATAATATTTGAAATCAAAATGCTTACAATTCTTCCGTCATCTTAGCAGTCTGACTGTCCTCGTAGCACACTGCCGGTCGATCAATAGCTCGTCTTAGCTCAGGTAGCAAGTTCAAGGCGGTCTTGACATCACGACAGGACTCTGCAAGATTAACATACTCAGACTCGGAAGTGCTTAAAGTGACAAGGGTCTGACCCCCCACCCCACCCGCCCCCCAGTATACTGACGCATTAGTGAGAAATACCAAGTAACCAGTACGCGATCGTTTGTCGTTCACTCCCCCATAGCTCGCCTCTGCATAAGCACAAAGCTCCAAGTCTTTCCCGGCCTTGAAGTATATTCCCCAATGCATGGTAGCATCTAAGTATCCGCATAAATTTCTTGCAGCGGCCTCTCTCGCTTTGGTCGGTTGGTCGAGGTATCTACTTAGTGGACTGGTCGCGGAAGCGATATCAGGACGCGTACCCACAGAATCTATAATATCACATTAGCATATCTGCTTCACCATTATCAAGTGCGACGAAGGCCTTCTTCTCGTCGGTAATCCTTGCACTCTGTTTTGTTTTCTCCATAGGTGATCAGCGCTAAGGCGATGTGCGAACCAGATGAGTGTACTATTGCAGTATCTGCCTCCTGTGAAGCGTTTGTATGAGTCGCCCTCAGTCAGAGCAGTGGTTTCAGTCAACACTCCAGAGGCACAGTTGAATCCCTTCTCGCCCTCAATCTTTTCTACTGTATCAGCGAACACTCTTCGACGTTGTTAAGAAATTGCGCTTGCATTCGTGAGCATGAAAACCTGCCCCAAGACGACGACAGTGGTAAACACGGAACTGAGCTTAGTGTATTCGGCTGTTCGAATCTTCTTGTTATTTTAATATAACTGCTTAATATGTTAACACCTCAGTATACTAAGTATATGAAGTCTGCATATACCAAAATACAATATATAAAACCAAAACTTGAAACTGAGAATCCTCCCATAGCTATCAATCTCAGTGTCACATTTGTGAAGCATCTGTACAACTGCTTTCGTGGATAAATAAAAACTCACGAAGCTGGAATCAGAGTTTTAAACACAATATTCGACGAAGCATGACATAATTTACGGCAGCTCGCTACAAGTCGCAGAGGATCCTACAAATGATAGATGAGCTCTTTAAGCGGAACAAGATTATCCGAATTATGGTAGGTGTACAACTTTTCGGTGTCCTGGGCATTGACCATACATAACCGTTAATGAGAGAAAAGCAAGAAAATAAACTGTGTCATCTTGTACCACGATGAGCATTAAAATCGCCACGGATCCTGAGTAGCAAGCATGCTTACCCTTCTTCAATTGGCTATCTTAAGTTTAATATAGTGCAGCTAATGTAGCTCTACACGTTACAAACTTCGAATCAGTGGGCTAGAACGCATGTGGTAAGGACTCAGGAATCCAGAAATCCACTCCAAGACCTGTACTTCCGGCGCATTGGAAGCGACCTTGACCGCAGGACAATACCTTTTGAAGATATAAATACCTGGCGTTTCGGGTGGACACAAATGTCTACCCATTTGTATGCGGGTATATACACCCCTGTAGGCGCGCACGGAAGTGTACACTTATATATACAGAAACCTTATATACGCTACATGCATTTCTATTTACAGTAAGACCAGTTTGGCAAATGCAAACAGCCTCCACACTCGGTCATAGCGTGTAGGTGTTTATGGCACTCATTTGTCGTCCATGTAGAAATAGGTCCCGGACTTCTTTTGCTCAGCATCCTGTGTTTCAAAAGCAAGAATCAGGATGAATACGAACTCTCGTATAAAGCCACACAAACTTCAATGAAAAACAGGGGTTGTTCCAACTTTTGGCTGTGTAGTGAATAATATTGGCATCAATGTGGTTGCAAAAACAAAACAAAAACGGTTGATATCCGGCATGCATCTCCGACAATAAGCAGTAGAAACTTGTCCAAATCACTTCAGAATGTACTTGTTTTCATTCATTGGGCGGAGTGAATCAATCAATCAAAACGACCAAATGAAAAGAAACAGGTATACCTTAATGGAGTCCATTTTGTTGATTCGCGGTCGGTAATTCGTTGGGTCACGACGGAAAGTGATGTCGAGCGATTTCAAAAATTTATTCATTCCTTGCAGAAGATTGGTAGGTCTGCATTTCAGCGTAGAAATAGTAATGAAGTCGATTGAGTAAGAGATAAGCGTATAGAAATATATACGTGGACACAAATATAAATATATATACCTGGGTGTGCGTGTAAAGTGAACTTGACTCGTGTCTTTATTTAGGTTCACGTCAAGTATTCTAGAAGCGGTTCATACAAATCAATATACAACCACATATATATTAATATATGTGTGTATGTATGCAGGTATGAATATATATATATATATATAAAGCACATCACAGCACACACGCATATATATATATATAAAGCACAGCACGTAGAACCAGTTGCATCGAGTCAATTCAAACGCGCATACAACTTCACATCTGTAAACTGTATCGTACAATACGAAAGACTCGAGTTTCCATCAGATCAGCGCACGACAAGCAACGGCCATAAAGGCCACGAGGGTGGTTTTAGTATCATTAAAATCATTCTGTAAGCGAAACCCGTAGTAATTGTAAGTACGCACTGACACACTCACAACAAGTACACAGTACAATCAAGGCAACCACTATACACCCACAGTCCAGACCACAAACAATTCTTACACGCGACGCGCACGGCAAGAGACTACTACGAACAAACCAACTTACGATCTCGCAATAGCTTTGATGGACGGTTGACCATCGTACACAATCACTCGATCGGCGAGGTATGTGGCCATAATGAAATCGTGCTCGACTACGAAGGCGGTCTTCTTGGCGTGTAGAATGAAGCTGTGGTTGTGAAGGCATTTGCGACGGATTAGAAGATAGTTATCGCGAAACATAGATCATGGACCCTGTCTCGAAAGTAGTTGCAGGATTGGAAGATGGTAATCGTAGCCACATAGTAGACGGATTCTAAGCCGAAGCGGTTCGCAATGGTGTGACACAACAATGTGTTTGTGATGCAAGAGAAGGATACACATACTTGTCTTTCAACCTCCGTTTTGACTTGGTATGCTTGGCTGCTTGTTGCACTATGCATGAATATCTGATCATAACGGAATCTTTCAACTCTAAACGAAATTGAGGCGGGACCACATCGAATCCATACCAAGCAGCACTACATAGATGCAAAACTATAAATATTCAAACACGTGAATAACTATGTAGACTCACCGCTTGATGACCTTTGCGGCAATGATACGCTGTTCTGAGTCTAGGTAGGCTGAGGGCTCATCGATCAGATAGATGTCGGCTGGGGTACCCAAACACATGCACAGAGCCACACGCTGCAACTCACCACCAGACAGGTTCACTACCACCTGGTCCATTAGACGATCTACTCCCATGGGCTGCGGGTGAGTGTATAATGTGCATGTATTGGTGAGTGTAGGTGCACATACAGACTTCATATCTTGCAGGCGAGTGAGTGTATAGTACAAGCGTACATGCATGCGTTGTACAGTACGCGTATTTGTGTGTAGAAGTGTAACTGTACAAACATGTCTGCATATGCTCCACGTGAGTGTATGTATAAGGGTGCATGCGTGTTGATACACGTCTGTTTGTGTATGAGTGTATATGAGTGTGCACTTGTGTACGTCCGTGCACATTGTGCCAAGGGTTGTTCTAGAGCCGCAGAGCGTCAAAGTGATACTTAACGCAAACGCCAGCTAAACTCGTTCAGCCTCTTCGTTCAACAGCATATAAACACGTTAACTTCCACCTTACACAAACTAAGCGAGATGCCTGCGACCTGATCCGATACGAAGTTTCATATCTTCGTAGTCCCCCAATTAAATTCCTTGCCAGCGACACAAAGAAAGCGAGACTTCTCATACCATATAGCATAGAATATAACATTCAAATATCACGCTTCCCAATATGTCGTGGCACGTAAATACTATACACGGTTACGACAGGCATACCTTGATCACATCCGTTACGAATTGAGGAAGGACGTAAGCGTCACGGATGCGCATGTGTAGCAGTGATCGCACGGAACCTTCAAACTTGGGACTGATCTTTTGAGGCTTGTAACTTATATTCAATTTGGGTACAGCTGTGGCGGATTCGTATAAGAGCATTGGTTTATAATAGAACGAGCGCCAATGAGATTTAAACAGTTATTTTGCAAGAGTTCGGGTTTAGCCATTATAAACGCGCAGGCCATACTCAATCTATACGTTTGTGTACAATGCATACACATTGTGAAACTCACGTGACCATATCATGAAGTACAGAACTCGGTACTTATTAAGAGACCATAGTCCAGCGGCACTAACCAAAAATCAGAATAGTTGCTTCAGGTAGATACCAGGGGTAGTACACAGGAAGTAAAATAAAACAAATGCCCACCTCATAAAATCACTTACAGATTTCCTCATCGTCGGGCTTGAGTAGACCGGCCATCAGACGAATGAAAGTGGTCTTACCCATACCGTTCTCACCCAGTAACACAACGATTTCTGATCCTGTATTAGAAATCGAAGGACATTTGCGGGGAGTCAGCATGGTGGTGGCAAGATGAATCAGAAAAGTGCAAGCGCAAGTGCCAGGCGGTATGTGATCAATTGTTGGTAAATATTACTTGTGAGAAGATAATCAAAGTAAGCGATACGTTACTAATCATTCGCATTTCTCACTTGCGAACACTGGAGACAGTCCCTATGAGCGGCTGAGATTCGAAAGACATGAATTATCTAAAGCCATATAAAGAACGATGAAGACGCACAATCAGGCTAATAATATCGAACCAACAGAAATCAAATTATATAAGACGGTCCCGTACGCCCTATGTCTTGTTTCGCAGTGAATAAAACTGACGGTAAGGACTACAAAGCGAGCCTGAGTAAACACAGACGCTTACCCTTGAAACCACCCTCTTCTACAGCGAGGCTGAAATCACCCAGCTTCTTGGTCATATCGGGATAGACACTGCTGTGCTGCTGCTTACCCTCATCACGTTCGAGTGCATCTGATACCTTCGAGATGGAGATAGAGGGCGACAACAGTGGTAAATATATTGGGCACTTCAGCTTCCATATATATATTTGTTGCAAGTCTCACGTCAGATATTTACGATTCTTAGTCTGAAATTCAAATAACTAATACAAATTTCATCTTCGGCAACGCTGCCGGCTAGAAGAATTTGACGAATGGATGTTTCACTCCTGGCTATAAAGCTGGATACGTGCTTACATACCTTGAAACTCAGCGACTCCTGTCGGAACCGCAGATTCTCAGTGGGCACGAACCCATCTAAGAACACATTGATACCCTCTCGCACAGAGAAAGGCATGGTCACGACACCGTAAGCTCCCGGCAGTCCGTACAGCACACATACGTAATCCGAAAGATAATCCAACACAGACAGATCGTGCTCAACAATGATAATGTACTTCTCGGGGGTGAGCAGGGATCGGATGGCCTGGCCGGCCTTTAGACGCTGCTTGATATCCAGGTACGACGATGGCTCATCGAACATGTAAACCTCAGCCTTCTGCACAACCACCACTGTGAGAAGAGGTATTTCGAGAGATACACGTGGAGTGACAAGTGAGTTAAAAAAGTTTGGCTGGTCTACGGCATTTGTACTACGTGAAACCAGTCCGATAGTGAAAACAGATGCAGATAAGTCGTTGAATACTCTTATCAGCGTGTTTCAAAAAAGTAGCATACCATCATAGTGCATATGTTCGTCATATACCCACAATGCACAGAATAGATGCATCCTGAACAACATCTCACGAGGACAGTGATACGTGATAACCATACATATTGCCCAATAAGGTAAACTAACATTATAAATAGCATTCATAGACATTGCCAGTCACTACCAAATTGCCCAATAAGGCAAACTAACATTATAGATAGCATTCAAAGACATTGCCAGTCACTACCAAATTGCCCAGTAAGGCTAACAAACATTATTAATGCCATAGATAGTGATTATGCGTATTGCAAGTCACTATGGACTCCCATACTTATCGCCACCCGTACCTCCAATGGCGAATCGTTGTAACTCTCCTCCACTCAAGACAGCGATATCACGATCCATTACTTTCTGCAGATCCAATAGTTCAGAAGTTTCATCCAGAACGTCGCGGTCATTCTTTCTCGTAAGGATGGCTTTCACGGTACCTGTATGGGTATCAGTTGAGAATTGAGTCCCGTTTCGCTGACATTTGAAGTGTGAATCCGTATTATCGTGCAGTCAAACGCACATGTACACCGAAGAGATATACGAATATTTTCTCCTGTTTCGTATGTATGTTCCAATAGCCATACATATCCATACTCCGCTTCCTAGACACGAACGATTAAATCCATCAGTGAATACAGTACTGCGTGCATGGACCAGAAAAGCGCTTCATCCAGAGTGAATTAAGATTTCTCGTGCGATACTAGTGTCGCTGATTGCGGGACACTACATCCATATATATCAAATCCGTGCGCTAGCGCTACAGATAAAATGAACCCCTCACATACATCTAAGCTCTCTCACCCCTACACATACATACCCTTAACAGCCTTGGGTAGGTGATCTACGTACTGTGGCTTTACTACCGCTTTGATGTCCTCTTCCAGAATCTTAGTGAAGAAATTCTGCAGATCACTACCACGGAAATATTGGATAATCTCCACCCAGTCTGGGGGGCTATCAAATCGTCCCAAATTGGGCTTCATTTTACCAGCAAGCACCTTCAGCGCTGTACTCTTACCGATACCGTTTGTACCTACAAGACCTAAAACTTGGCCCGGACGAGGCATAGGCAATCTGTGAGCGATGGAGGTGCAGGGGAATTGGGCGATCAATCGAAGCCGTGCATTGTTGGGCAAACATTATTAAATTGACGACTTACAAGAAGGCTGTGAAAACCGATAAATTCAATTAAACAGAGTCGAGCAATAGTGGAGTGCTTCGACTACACATTGATATGTGAGAGTGATTTCTGTCTGTTCAGCAGTGCACACAGTGTATGTACAACTACAAAAAGCACGCACCAACCGATAAATCCACTAGTTCGTCCTGCCAAGATAACAGCAGAATATTATATGCGTACGACATCGCCGTATCACACATGTACAAGAAGTACGATCAGCAGTCGTATTGAGTGGTGTAGTGATATCCGCCAAGGCGTCTTTGTGTGCACACGCGCAGCAGAACTTAACATACCTGTGCAACTTGAAGGAGTTTTGGGAATATCTATGCGTCACTTCCTTCTCTAGATTTTTCGGCAAATTGATAATGTTGATCGCATCGAACGGGCATTTCTGTGGACGCCAAGTTTTGATGGAGGGTCAACAATCAATGACTCTTTGTTGGCTTTAGTGAACTGAGATTGGCATGCATCTGATGTGGTTAAGAGGGACAAATTACCAAGTTGATCGCCCAAATTTGAGCCAATAGTTTTTATTCAACACGGCCTCGTGAACATTCTACTGGTTATCGAACATATAGTACTACATCGTCCGCCCAATATGCGACCACACAAATGCTATGAGAGCTTTATTCACGTCCAAAAAAAACTCTAAGTCCCATCGACAAAAAAAAGTCTGCGTGGATATCATTGACCAATTACTCTCGGAAGACCTCATGTGCACTTCATGCACACAAACGACAAGACATACAAACGCGGTTCAAATTGATGTTTTAAACTCGAATTGCATAAACTTACCTTTACACAGATACCACAACCGATGCACAAGGGCTCTGAGATGATACTACACTTGGCGGCAGGGGTGACATCAATGCAGAGCTTACCTAAATAGCAGTGGATAGAACGTGGTGTTCAATGGTAAAACAATGCAGATACGAAGCTACCGCAAGGAAGTTCTATCCAGTAAACTTTGAAATGGTGTGTCATAAATTAGTTACATATATTGTATCTCGTACACAGTGATGCAAGCTAGGGGCACGATACTCAAACGTCCGTCGAAGTTACTGAGAAGCATGAAAAATACGATGATAAAGCTTAATTAGCTATAATAAAATATATGCGCCAGTCCATATACAGCTATACACCCTGCACCACTATTTTACCAGGACATGAACTGAACAAACACCGAAACACGTATTTTAAAGAATGAATATGCGTCTCCAGTCGCGTTTCGTTTTATGCAAGAACACATCGCTGTGCTGATGCTATACAATTGCCCTAAAGACGGACAACATCAAGGTTACACAAATGTAGCGACTGGACGAGAAACAAATCTTCACATTTCGTCCAAATCGGCACGACACATAAGACACAATTGTAGAAATTAAACACAATGTAGGCGATCCAACTTCGAATTTGCGGACACATTACATGTCAAAGTGGATCGCCAGTGCAATGCAGACGCGCTCATACGATACTACGACTAAATTGAAGCATATACACGTGTCCATAAAACAAATCAAGACTGAAATTTTCAGTACGTTCCACTCTACCGAAAAAGGCCCACACACACACACACACATATCAATATATATATATATATATATATATAGAATAATAATAAATAGATAGATAAATTTATCTATACATATATATATATATATAGATATTTATATATGCATACACACACACACATACATACATATATATATATATATATATTATACACACACACACACACATATATATATATATATAATTACATACATACATACATACATACATACTTATATATATATATATACATGCGGCTCCAAATTACCTCAAATGACCATCCATATTCGAAGTAGAGGAAAAAGGGGATCGATATATTCGATCGCAAGACATTCTGCACATTAAAACAATTCTTACCCATTCGATTGACTGGGCAAGACCTTTTGCATTCCTGTCGACATTGTTTAGGCTTGCACTTATCCGAAGATACAATAGCTACACGGGTAAGCTTGTCAGCCATCTTGTTTAGTATATATCTCTAGCTGTGTATACAATTACAATTAGTGAAGACCACACACAGGTGAGCGCAATACTACTAGAATGTATGCCACGAATGCTACAGTAGTTTGGAGGAACTGTAGATTTACTCAGGGCGGCAGTTTATATCCTATTCCTAAAGGATAGTATAACAGTACGGTACGATATGAGCTTGCAGAATTTGTATTACGGCTGCAATTCTAAATTCTATTCATACACACCTTATGGTTGCGTGGGTGTTCTATATTTAAAACTGTTTCGTTGTGACGAATCATTCATCATGGTTTTTGGTTTGCTCTAAGAGTTAATAAAAACATACGACAAGATATAAAACTGTCTGGTGTTTCATATTCGACTGATGATACTTATAAAGCGGCAATAAATATAAAACATCATTGACATTCATATTTTAAATTTACGAAAGCCGCGAAGCCAAATATCACTTTTTTCTATGAAAAATTAGAAAGTGATTTGGAAGGACAAAAAATAAATAAATAAATTGCACGCGCAGACTTCTCGCCGGCTAAAATATCAATTTTGGCGCGAAATTCGAAAACTGTATTTACACGGCCCTCCCGTCTAACACATCTCACACCGCAGCAGCATCGCGACGACAATCTTTCTACTAATGAAATACTGTTAATTTCATGTAGTGAAAAGATCTCTTACTTTGTTGAATGTATTACTGTTAATACCATGTAGTGTAAAGATCCCATACATTGTTGCGTGACCTGACGTACTGAGGGCCAAGTTGGAAATGGTTCCTGCCACTCGAGTCAGGCCACAACGGTGAGAAAGGTTACAGGGGTCGAATACAGCGTGATAGGTGATCTAAAGCTGTTTTAAACAGAGAATGTATACGTGTCCACATTGTGTGGGGACACAATCAGACGTATGTGATTCGATTATTGAACTATGGAGAATCGTTTTAAGTGTTTATCGACTCAATAGTTGGCGAGAACGAGCGGTACTAACCAATATACATGCCATCTCTCGGAGTGCTGTATACTATATTAAATGATCCAGCTGGGCATGCTTACGACTAAGTACGCGATAAAGCCTTAAATAATATGAGTAACTGCATTCTGTGACTGTCAGCATGATTGCTATTACACGGTCTTGTCCAACTTGCAGCTGAATGACTACAGTTGCTTTCAGTTGATCAGATCTGCTGTTGAATGGTTAAATCATATATATATATATATATATACATACATATATAAATATATGTATATATTTATATATATATTAATATATATATATACATATATATATGTATATATATATATGACTACGCTTTCAAATGAATGGTCAGTGGATGGCTTATATTCTCCACAGAGTTCTGTAGTTATATATATATATATATATATATATACATATGACTACGCTTTCAAATGAATGGTCATGGAATGGCTTCTATTCGCCACAGAGTTCTGTAGTATAAGTGTACTAACCTAGAGCTAGACCTGTTGCAACAGTATGACATTAGAATGCTGCTACACAAAAGAAAGCATACGGAAACATGAAGCATACATGACCAGTTTTAATAGCATCTGGTGTATTTACACATCTATTGTTACATTTGTATAGCTTCAGATGCCTTCAATATATCTGAATAATGGGTCTAGTGGTATTATAAATTTCGACGTCCTACTAGGTATTCGGCCATGTGCAACTGAATAAATATGTTTTTGTTGTTGCATTATTGGAATTCTGTATGTTAAAAGAATTACTTTTAAGTATTTATATAATGTGAGATATTTTAATACATAAAAAATCAATAAATTGTTTAATCTGAGAACTCCAATATGACTAGCAGTTTGGAAGCCTCATTATCCCGTTATGTCTATAACTGTTTACTGATGACGCACTATGTAACCAACACCAGAATGTTATATAGGTAGTCTAGTTGTCTAAGATCGGCTCATTAGCACTATTGTCCTTTCATGCTAAACACTGAAGCCATTATTCTGCTGCGATACGAGGATTCAGAAACATTGTGGTTCCAGTTCATGTTAGATAATGTACATATGGGGCTGCCACCAGCTGACCGGCTGATGTATATACATGGTGTATACGACTATCATTGTCCACAATGCTGTCAGTTGATTGTCTATAGCTAACTACTGCAAAAATCTAAATGCGGGATGATGAAATTATCAGTAGAGTAGACTCGCTGACTGGGTGGGCCAGTTAGCTATCATTAGTCCACGCTATATACAACGCAAAAGGTATTACAATGGCGTAACCCGGGTTCACGATATTTTAATGATACGATAAAATATCGTTAGACAGGCCTCGCTCTGGCTATACAAATCTTTGTTACACGAATAATGGCTTCTAGTACACTCAGGACACGTCAGTAGAGATTAATTTGTAGTTGTGAGCATTGTATTTATTTATGCGTGTTTTAACAGCTGCCCAGCTCTAGTCCCGTGCCATCAAAATTTTAAACTCGCTGTATTGTTATTATTTTATTACATACATTTATAACCTAATAAAATACGAAGACATTTTAGGAGGCTACATATGGTCTATTGGTTTTGTGCAATAGACGCGCCACAATCACTGCTGGTAGCCTGGTACTACGGTAGTCGGTATTCGGTACCTCACCACATACCCCTAACCCCAGGCTACCAGAGACTCTACTAGAGACTCCAGGGTCCAGAGTCCAGAGTACCCCAGGGTTCAGGGGTAACCAGGGGCCAAGCGAGTCAGAGACTCCCAAAGTTTGTTGGGTTTCGCCATACCGTGTTTTTTATGTATGTACTATATGGTACTATAATTGTCCATCTATTTATTAATATCATACTCACGTGTTGTATAAAATTATATATTTACATATAGGATGTAGTGTGACATCTCGATTATTGATGTTTATATCATTGTGACAGCTACAACAATGTCTTCAAGTGCAACACCTGTGCCCCGTGTGCACGTATACAAGTATCAGGGCACTGGGGATTTCATAAGCGTGAGTAGTACGCCCTCAACTGCAGACAATAACAAACTACGTAAAGAACACTCAGTTGCCAAGGGCCAACTGGTTGCGATTGACCTAAGTCGTCCTTCAATTGTTAAAATTAAGCAATAACTGTTTGAATTTGAGGCGTTCTATACTTATCCAGATTCTCTGCTCTGATGTATCGTGTCTTGTCATTCTAACGTTTTATAGTGCCGGACTATCGAATTTGATGCATATCGAAAAACCTGTTCGTATTATTACGGGCTTCTATTGGTTTCCTTCTACTTTCGTACCACGTAGACAGCCAGAATGGATCCTTTCTTCGCGTCGCGGATAATCAAGGTGGTTGGCTATTTGGGAAGGTTAAAGGAACACAGGTGCTCGCGGAAGTGCCTTGCATTAACTACAGGCCTTCAAGGTAGGTTGGTTTGGGATTTGTCATTGTTGGTCATACTTGCGTAATGAACTCAAGAGCAACAGTTGATCGTTAGTGGCTCTACTATATTAGAACAAACTCCGTCCACGGATATGTCATCATACGGCTTCCCAATGCGAACATAAACCAAACGAACCTTCAATACCAAATCTAAACACGCCATAGCCGTACATACTATTGTGTCCTTGTTTATTGTGTACATCGCTTTGTTTGTTTGCCCTCGACTATTGAATTTTTCTTCCTAGTTTTGACATATGTATATATATATATATATATATATATATATATATATATACTATATATTATTATTACTTACTATATATATATATATATATATATATATATATATATATATATATATA